AGTGTCTTCGTTGTTTGACAATGTAATTTGAAAATTGGACATTAGGCAGGCAATGGTCGGAAGAAAATATATTACAGGATAGTGTACAGCTTAAAACAGAATGAGGTGTTAGGTGAAGAAACAATTAGTTAGTCCTTGCTTACGTTGCTAGTCAATGTATATAAAAATACAATATATATTTAGGTTATTTACAGGTTATATTTGCTAGAGTTCATGTTTAAACAAATTTATCTCGCTGTAGCATGTAAATGCTATTAAAGCTTGTTAATGAACCATTAAAGCTAATTAATATAGACGATTAGTTATTAGTATCGATCAAGTTAGTATGTTATGAGTACTAATCAATATAACATTACAATAATACATGTGAGAACTAAGCAGATGACTAATGGAATGATGGGTTTACATAAGTAAAAATCGATCGAGGATGTTAAAGTGAAAATAGGGATAAATAGTAATAGGCTGTATTTCTTTAGTCGGGCTTACCAATGTGGTCTATTTTGATATTAGTACTACTCTAATGACAGACTTAATCCTAAAATTGTAGATCTGCCATGGTGTAATTACCTAATCTATAAGATCATACGTGGATGTCACATCACTATCTACCCTGACTCATTCGTATTGTAACAATCATCAATATATGGTGAAGATAGAATAGTATATTTAATATAGATGAAGGACTGTTACATAAGTAGGACCACGCCTGCAAGGCCAAGCAATGCCACCAGATCAATTCGAATAAATTGAATTGATTCTGCCCGCCTTCTCCATCGTTGGGTTTCTCTCCGCGTTAAACGATGAATATCTATTTTCCTAGTTGCAACATGTTCAGCTTTGAGGATTGTGTGATTAGGCTGAAGCTAAAGCTGGAGCTTCATCGGCATATTTCAGTAAAGTGCTTTCTATCAGTAATGAGGAACGACCAACGATTTATTGTTATTGTGGCGGCTTGTTGATGGACACTGTAGCTGTTGAGTAAGGTACTGTCTTAAAATTACTTGAACATTTCAGACCTGAGAAGTCCAGTGTTCCTGATGGTATTCATTCTAGGATCATGAAAGCCCTATCAGATATAATTGCTGAACTGTTAGCGATACTGTTTGATATACATCTGCGGCTGACCAGACTGCCCAGAGACTGGAAAGTCTTGATAATTAGATCGGTGTATAAGGCTGGGAAAAGAGTTTTAGTTAGTAACTATTAACCCGTTAACTTAACTTGTGAAGTTGTAGAACTGATTAAAAAATTATTTGGATAGCTTTTATAAATTATGTGGAAGGGCATTATTTTTTATGCAAGGGGCAACATGTTTTTCACAGAAACCTATCATGTTTGACAAATCTTCTCATTGCAAGAAAAGATCGAAATATTCCTGTAGATGTGATTTACATAGATCTAAGTAAAACCTTTGATAAGGTCTCCCATTCTGGCATTGCATTCAAACTGGAAGGTTTGGGAATTCATTAGACAGTAATAGACAGAATAAGTGACTTTCTCCATGATAGGATACAAAGTGTGAGGGTAAATGGAGCTCTCTCACCACGGAAACCTGTAACAACGGAGTCCCCCGAGAAAAAATCCTCCTTCCTCTTCTCTTTTTACTTTATGTAAATGAATTACCAACTGTAGTGAAATCATCGGGGTAGGGAATTACTTTAATTCTCTACCAGAACACCTGATACCAACACCTTTTGTTGATATATTCAAAAAGAGATTAAACATCCACAGTATTACAAATTGCAAGAATTAATATAGGTCGTCGACATTATTATTTGCGGATGATGTCAAAAATGGAGAGCAATAAGAGGGGAGGCTGATCATCTGGATCTTCAAGCTGACTTAGACGATTTAGTTAGATGGGCTCGAGATTGGGGTTTAGAAATCAATTCTAGGAAGAGTTTGCTAATGCACATCGGTCACGGCAATAGTTACCATTATACTATTGATGGTAAACCTCTTCCATGCGTTCAAGAACATAAAGACTTAGGAGTAATAATAAGTCATGATTTAAAAACAACTGCGCACTGCAACGCAGCCGCTGTCAAAGGTGATCACTTCGCCGAGCGTTCAAATCCTTTGACGAGGAAATGTTTCGAATTTTTTTATCCCACCTATGTAAGACCACATTTAGAGTACTGTATTCAAGCAGCTAGCCCATGTCTGATAAAGGATACTACCTCACTTGAGCGTGTCCAGCGTGTGGGAACGAAATTAGTGAAGGGTCTTTCTAAACTCCCTTACGATGAGCGTTTAAAACGCTTAAACCTTTTCCCGTTGTCGTATCGTAGGACTCGAGGTGACCTTATACTGGCATTTCGTATCTTTAATTATGATTTGGGTGTTAATATGTCTTATCTTTTTGCTCTTTCCAGCACCAATAATCTCCGAGGTCATAGCAAGAAGGTTCATAAACCACGATCCAATAAACTCAAGGTGGGGTTCTGTTTTTCTCATCGAGTAGTCAATGATTGGAACGCTTTGCCCGATCAAGTGGTATCAGCCCCATCAGTGAATATTTTCAAAGAGAAACTGGACCTTCACTGGAAGCCAACCTGTTAGGATTAACACAGGTTCACTAACCTACTATCCTTATTACTGAAGACTGAAGGTCGATAGATCGATCCTTATAACTGAGGACTGAAATACATAGCCCGCTAATTTGAGCGTTTGCGTTACTCCATACAGATACGTGAGGCATGTTCCTTGTTAACTTGATTCTGCGAGAACTGCCTGATGTTTGATAGACTACAAACTCCTTAAATAGAGCCTTTTTACTACCCACTATGGCATTTTCGCGTGGATTATTTCCCGAAATATTTTTGAGTATTCTTATTTGACCGGATATAAGATGAAATGAATTGCGAAAGATGAGTGTTTATCATTTCTAGTTAGCTCTTAGCTGCCTGTTAATTTGCGTTGTTTTCAACTTATTGATGGGTCTCGCCTAACAGGTTCTTAAGAATGGGTTACAGACCACAGTTTGATCACATGATTAACATTTTCAATTACTTCGCTTGTAATTACTTGATTTAGTATTTATGTTTGTGTCGTATGAATTTTTAGTGAGGCTGACACTTGATAAGTCCATCTATGTGTCATCGGATTCGAGGACTGAACAGTCTGAGAGAAGTGCATAACTTATGAGTGAACGTTTTCGATAAATTTTGGACACAATCCGAACTAGTGGACTTCCTTAATCTAATCACAATTATTTATAGCAAGGGAAAATTGTAAACGCCGACGTGATTGCAAACGATACAGTTGAATTTCCAGTCTGATTTGTCCTATTAGTTTTTTTGTTAATAACTAGTCCGGGATCCTAAAGTATTTTTTTGTAAATGTTAATGCGTTGTAACTCAATAGCTAAGACAATCCTTAGTGATTTTCATCCATCTCAACTTAAAATTACACAGTAAATCTAACGGAGAGTCCAGTTTGCGTACGAGTCGTGGATTCTGGCGCGAAGTTCATCAATCCATATGGTAATTAATACATTGACATTATAACTGATGTCAGTTCGTGATTGCTTGTTAACCCAAATCGTCCGTTTACAAGCACTATCAAATTACCGAACAATATTCAGCTCATATAACCTTCCATCATTTCGTTGTTTAAAGTAGTCTATTAAGTAGTTTCGAGCTTAAATTTTGGTTATTATTTATTTATTTTAACACATAGATATTGGTACAAGAAGGCACCAAATACATATGCGCCATACAAATCTCATTTAATATGTGTGAGGAATGTGATACTGCCCGGTTGTTCAAACCGAAGCAGGTGGTTTTCTTAGGGGGCCACACCCCGAGCCTTCGACCTGAAGATCTGATCCAGAAGGCAATGGAGCATCGTGAGGAGATGCAGTCCCATGGTAGCTGGTGACCAACGATTGGTTCATACTCCATTTGTTCCTTCAGGATACTGGAGCCCGTGTGCACAATTGGTTTGGAATCAAAGTTTATCAACTCCCCTAGATGGACTCTCCATTTCCACCAACCCGGTTAAAGCGCCGGACATTCGCTTTTCGTCCTCTCAGTTTCGTAGACAACACCCCCACCACGAGAAAACAATGAGTAGGAATTCCCTGGCAAAGGCTGTATACGCGTGGTCATGTGAGAGCATTTCGAGAGGGTGAGCGGACTCTCCCCCAGGGCATTTGGGGGAAAAATTCATAATGGTCAGGTACGACCTAAACGAAACAACATTTGAAAGTCAGTTAGTCAGAAATATGAATTTAACAGGGTTGTATATTTGTGAATGCAAATGATTTTCTGTTTTTCCACATTTAAATGTGCTGCTTTTCATCTGTCCGCTTAAATATTTGCTTTTACTATGTTCTCATCGTTTATCCGGAATACCTTTTCCAAAAAAATTCTGCCTGCAGATTTGCAAAGTATGTTAGTTTCAATTTATGTGTGTTCCTTCGTTGACTTATCTATCTACAGTCGTTCTTCATCTTGGGCATTGTCTTCTGTATTTACGTAACAGTCGCTTGAGATAAAAGCAAAGATCTAAACTATCATAACTATGCTGTAAAAAACGAAGCGCTTCTGAAAAAAATATATTTCAAACACAATATGCATGCAAATCCTCCTCGTTATTGTTCCTATTTACCTGCTTCGGTTTGGGCACCCAGGCAGTATCATAGCCCTCACACAAATCAATTGAGATTTGTATTGCACATATGTATCTGGTGCCTTCTTGTACCAGTATTATGTGTTTAAATAATAAATAAATTATGTTTCTGTCAATTGTGTCATTTTTACATTGTTGCCAAATGTATTCCCCATGATATCTCTAATATTGAGTTCCAAATTAATCACTAATATTGTAAAAGTCAAAATGAGTTGTTACCATCTAAAGCCTTATTCATGTGCACGGTCTCGTCCTATAAGTGCTTGATATTCTCTGAGCAGATTTTACACTGATCCTTGTTTTCTAAGCCCTAAAGTTCGTTTTAAATGTTACGTTTTTGTAGATATACGGACATGTAATTAAACATGGGCCGGAAAAGTTCCACTCTGTCTTGTACACCAAGGCGTTCTACTCGACCAATTAGGTCAACTGATGAAGTCCAAACAGCTCCTGAAAATAAGAAGTCGGTTAATCCAACTAAAAAGCCATGTCACTTGACCACAATCGAGAAAAGTGCTTCCAGTAACGAAGATGAACATGCATTCGCTTTGAATAAGCATATAAAAAGACGTAGTAAACGAATTAGTTCAAGAGTAGAAACACAGAAACCAAGTCTTAAAGGAACATTGGGTTTGGAGAAAGAAAGTAAATTGTTCGGAGAAGATAAACAGTTATTGACAGATGGCCATTTTCAAGATGAGTGTAATTACAGCGATTCAAGTGATTTCGTATCCCAGTGCTCAAGTGTCGAAAGACCCAAAAGCAAGAAAAAAGGCAATTTGCGCTTATTTTCAGAATTCAAACATAAGAATGTGGCTAAAAGACTAATTAAACCATCGAAAAACGTTAATGTAGTTGAGAATTTTCAAAGTATTGTAAATGATGACTCGGACGACGAAACAGAATGGGTTGAAGTGGATGATGAGCCAACTAATGAAGTAGATTTCATGCATAACCTTTTGAATTCCAGTTCAAATACTGTACCTTGCGAAGATGGGGGAAAAGAACCTGCATCACTAACTGTAGCTGTCCCTTTTGATAGTCTCACTAAAAAACATACTAAACAAGATCCGAAACTTCTCGAGTTACTTGCACTAAAACGTAAACTAAAAGAACATTACTCATTGATGCATTCGGTTCATGTGTTGTGTTTTCTTGCTCATAGTCGTGTGATAAATCGAACTTGTGACAGTTCCTTATGTTGGGCTTTAGGTATTTCACTTTTGGCTAATACAAACGCAGTGTACAATCAAAAAACAAAACAGTTTATCAAATTATCATTGTGGTCAATTGAACATGTAGAAGCATGTCTTGTTTCGTTGTTGTCTTATCAAGGAATGCAATTATGTACTGAAAATAATTCATGCGATGATTATGAATACCAACTTGTTCATCGTCTGTCAGAGTCTAAATCAACTGAAGGTGATTGTCTCATACTACTTGTTGCAGCTCTTCGTTCTCTTGGATTCGATGTACGAATAATCCTTGGTCTTCATCCAATACCTTTATTACCTAGTGAAACAGCGACCAAAATTCTTACGTCTACAACTAAAGAAATTAAAAGTTCCAATAAAGGAAAACATAATCGAAAAATCATTTCTTCAGATGAAGAAAACATATTTGATACTGATTGCGATCATCATTATTATAATGAGAATCCAAAATCCAGCATTACTCTATTTGCTGAAGTATTTCTACCGAAATTGAATCGTTGGGTGTGTATTGATCCATCATCGCCTACAGGCGTTGTGGATAAAGTGAATTTCAAACATGGATCTTTATATGTTATCGGTGCTTGTTCTGTACGATCAGCGAGTCCTGAGTTAGTATCTTACGTTGGTAGAAATCCTGTTGACCTGTCTCCTCGTTATGTTCAGGATTGGTGTGTTTCTGCTCGTACTCATCGCATTCCTGCTGAAAAGTGGAGTAGTTTTCTTGATATACAAAGTAGATTTTTTGATAAAGATGCCGTTGAATATGATGCTTTAGTTTCTAAGTTAAATACACTTTCAACTTTTCAAAGAGATAGAAAAGATAAGGATTCTATTCAAGAAAAGCTTTTATCTGAACCTCTACCTAAACGTATGCAAGACTTTAAGAATCATCCATTGTATGTTCTCCAACGCCATTTACTTAAATTTCAAGTTATTCACCCACCTGATTCAATCCCCTTGGGATATTTTCGTAATGAACCGGTTTATTCTCGTGATTGTCTCCATCTTTGTCATACCAGAGAATCATGGTTAAAAGAGGCTATGGTATGTTCACAACACTATTGTTTTCAAGAAAAAGATTCCTAGATGTTCTCTAAAATCTTTCCTTCCGCAAATTTATATTTTATACTTAATCTTTCCTATTATGACTAACACTATGTATAATACCCTAGAATCTCTGTACTGATGTAGTGTTGCGACTTGAGTCGATGCAATTTTTCCAGATTCTAATTTCCAAATAACTATGACTAAAGAAGAGTATAAATGGGAAAAATTTGTGAAATATGACAGAAAATCGCCTCCCAAATTGTTTTACTTCTTACATACTTGGTGGCTAACTGTGGAATTCCAACTCATTGACCATGTGTACTAAGCTTTTAGCCGAGCCTAGAAATATTTCTTTGCTGGTAAGACGGAACTAAATTAGACTGGATGTGATCTCGACACCTTACGATCCAAAGTCACCTGGTTATATCAGAGTGATTATCTCACAAAACTCACCCGAAAGCCGACGGGCTATGTAAGGATATCAGTCAGCTACAACGTAGGACCAGGCACATACATGCATCGGTTCAAGTTGTCATGCCTCATTAGCACAACAAGATGAACACCAAATTCATAGAAGTAGTTAATTCAGTGGTGGTAATATATAAAAGAAGGATTGCATATAAGAGCATAGTACAGGAAGAAAGAATTAGTTCGTCGAAAGAGAGATATGAAACGATTTTTACCTCATAGTTTAAAGGAAGACAAAGAGTGTATACACCTACGCCATCGTGATCGATTCTGAGTCCGGCGCTTTAACCGGATCCAAAACCAATGGTGGACATGGGCTCCAGTATCCTGAAGGAACAAATGGAGTATGAACCAATCGTTGGTCACCAGCTACCATGGGACTGCATCTCCTTACGATGCTCCATTGCCTTGTGGATCAGATCTTCAGGTCGAAGGCTCAGGGTGTGGCCCCCTAAGAAAACCACCTGCTTCGGTTTGAACACCCGGGCAGAATCACAGCCCTCACACAAATCAATTGAGATTCGTATGGCGCATATGTATTTGGTGCCTCCGTGTACCAATATCTATGTGTTAAAATAAATAATTACATGTCACACAGAGTTGCGCGGACCCAAACCAAGTAGTCTGCATCTACCAACACGGTTCAGACTAGAAGTTAGTGACTTCAAGCACTGGTCCCACATTTTGGTTTGGCCTCCTCTAACTTTCTTCCTAATACCCCACGTCTAACTTCACTAATACTTACCCGATGATCCCAGTATGCGAGCAATATTTCTAAGACCGTTGTTGCTACACCTTGACGTGGTGGTCGGGCTTGCCTATCGTGATGAAGCAACTGAGCTATACTGGCTGGAACAATCGTTCCTCAAGGTCCTACTATGCCAAACAGGTCGGTTGAAGAGAGGTAAGACTAAGAGCAGCGAACCCAAGGTCCGAAGGCGAATTCGTACTGTTGACTCTACAGAGGTGTTACGGCAGCATAACAGCGATGCTGCCTTCCCAAAAGGTAGGGTGGGGTTATAAAAGTTCGACTCTAAAATGCACACCTTGCCTTATTCCACGGATGTCCGTCTCTTGTGGTTAGGTCTCAACAAGTACGGAGCTAACACGAGAATTACTCACAAAATGGTCGTGTTTGAACGACCTCAAGCAGTTGTCCCTTGAGCACTGCAGTCACGCTCTCAGGTCAGTAATATCGCATCTAGCCCAATTTCAATTTTCAGGTACCTCCAGAAGAACTCTTCCACGATGTGGGCAACCGGAAAGTGATGACCGCCCTCACACCTCTCTCTAACAGTACTCAAGACCACTGTATTCATAATCAACCTCCCTCGATAAGGATATAAACCTTGGTGCAATCTGAATTTCACAAACCCATGGTTGTAATTACTTTTGCTTCGTTTATTAGTCATCAGTATCCATACTTACATCTACAAAGGCGTCTAGTCACCGGTAATGTATGTCAGCCCATCATTTGCCTTAACAGGTTATGCTAAACTAGGGTAGGACTAAGTTCGTTAAAGCCCAAACTTTGAAAGACCACGATATTAACACTAACCGAAGAATTGTGTTAATGTGTAGCGGTTTTCAGTTATATCGATAGTGAAAAACTGATTTGATTATAATTCACTGTCTGGAAACCATGTACCTCAGCGACTGTCTTATATAACTACATAGTTACTGTTCTGTTACTTTAAGTTTAAACCCTCTTTAATCGTAAGAAACTACTAATTAATATCTCAGCTATTTTGAGTTCTGGTTTCGTTTTTCACAACTTCTTTTTTAATCACACTTCATTGTCGAAATGTTATATATAAAGATTTCAAGAACTAATAAATATTTATTCATGGATACTCAGTGTCATATGTAGTTGCTTTATTTTCCTTTTTTGTATTTTCAATCTCAGACTGTTCGTCTTCATGAAAAACCTGCAAAAGTTGTTAAAGCTCGTTTATCAATGAAACGTAAGTTGTTACAAGGTTCCGATTCTACACCTCCAACTGTTGAAATATTTGGTCCATGGCAAGTGGAACCGTATGTACCACCGAAAGCTGAAAATGGTATTGTCCCACGTAATGCGCATGGAAATGTTGATTTGTTTAAACCGTGCATGCTTCCCATAGGCTGTGCACACTTATGTCTTTCTGGTATGTTCTATATGGTTTTCTTTTTTTCTTATAATCATGTTTGATTTCATTTCAATTCGATCTTTCAATCATCGAAAGTAGAACAGAATAATTTCTCTACATTTCGTAGGCTTTTTTAAACGTATCCAGATTACGTTATTTTGTGACTCATTTTATTTTAAAGAGTAATTTCTTATGACAAAAAGTGTTCGATACAACAGAACATTAAAAAACGCACCAGAAAATTTATTTTTATTTTTTATTTGAACACATAAATGTTGGTACAAGAGGACACCAAATATATATACGCCACACAAAATTTTATTTGTGTGTGGGCTGTGATACTGCTCGGGTGCCCAAACCGAAGCAGGTGGTTTTCTTAGGGGGCCACACCCCGAGCCTTCGACCTGAAGATCTGATCCACAAGGCAATGGAGCATCGTAAGGAGATGCAGTCCCATGGTAGCTGGTGACCAACGATTGGTTCATACTCCATTTGTTCCTTCAGGATACTGGAGCCCATGTCCACCATTGGTTTTGGATCCGGTTATAGCGACGGAAATTTGCTTTTCGTCCTCTGAATTTCGTAAACAACACCCGTGTTGCGAGAAGGCAGTGTGTAGGACTTCCCTGACAGAGACTGTATACGCGTGGCCATGTGAGAGCATTTCGAGAGGGTGAGCGGACTCTCCCCACTCTCGGCCATTCCAGGGCATTTGGGGGCGCACCACAAAATGTATGTAATAACATTAATAATAGATATATTTTCTTAATATCCAAATGAGTAGACAATAATTGTATTTCCAACGTTTCGTAGCTTAATATATGCCACTTCTTCAGAGTAAATAAATAACCGACATTAAATTAACATAAGTACTATAACAAAAAATATATCAGAAGGGGTTTTGTGGAGATTGTAGTAATTTCAATGGTTAAGATAATGAGTCAATTGAAGCTAGACCACCATGGAAAACCTGGAAACACTGGACGGCCGTTTCGTCCCATTGTCCGGAGTTCTAGTGAGAAGTAGTGACTACTGGAGTTCAACCAGGTCTGTTGTGAGATAGTAACTCACTGAAGACAATGGTGGATGTGTCGCTCAATTTCGTGGATTAATTGAAGTTAGACATTAACACCATTGGATGGTGGCCGGCTCAGTGGTCTAGTGTTTAAGTGCTCGCGAGCGAAACCAGTAGGTCCTGGGTTCGAATCTCCCGGGGGGGGCGAGATGGTGGGTGAGCACTGTTAAGGAGTCCCACAATAGGACGAAACGGCCGTCCAGTACTACCAGGTTTTCCGTGGTGGTCTAGCTTTAACTGACTCATGATCTTAACCATTCAAAAAATATATATTTATTATAAATTTTTACTCAATGCTCAACTTATTTAAAACTATCAAGTTCAACCTTGGCATTGATACTTATGAAATAAAATTATTTTGCAAAAGTAAAAAAAAAATTCGAGAAAAAAGAACAGCGTTAAACTTTACAATTAAATATAGATCAGAACGAAATTAGATTTAGTTCAATCTATATGTACATGTTATTTATATATAAGAAATCTGAGCAAAAGTTAATCTAAATTTGTAGTCAATAGCAGGAAAATGATGTATAGTATTGTACTAGAATGTAACACAAAAGTCGAATGACTTTTGTAAAAAAGAATAAGATAGTAATGTATTTACTTTAAACTTAGTACTCCCTTAGAAACAATAGTTTGGATTTATAACTGTAGAATCTTATGCGAACTTATTGAGAAGAATATTCTTCGTTCGTAGATTTAAGATTTCAATAACAAAATACCATTCAATATCAGATATAATTTCATTAAAAATATAACTAAGATTTAATTAGTTAAGAATATAACACAAAAGACCACCTTTGACTTTCATTCTTAACCATGCTTAATAGTATTTCTGACACGTTTGTGTACTTAGTTGATTATTTCCAAATTCAACTCCATTAGAGTGAACAAGACTACTCTTATGTTTCTCTTCTTCTTCTTCTTCTTCTTCTTCTTCTTCTTCTTCTTCTTTGTCTCTACCTCATAACTAAAGTGAGGAGTACAAGTTTTGTATCGAAACAGTTTCTGGTAGAAACCTTCCAGAAGGATGAAATTACATCCAAGTTTGTTTAGTTATGTACCTATTAATTAAGTGAGTATTAACAATCATAATTTATTAAACTAAGTAGCCAGCACAAAATACGATTGAAATACATTGAAAGTCAATGAGTAGAAATCTCTTCAAATCGATATGCGAATTTTGAAATTGATTTCTTTTTGTACTGTGTTTGGTGTTTTCACATCCTAAGTTGTATAACTGTTAAGACGTAAATGAAGGAGCCTTGACGGACGGATATGTATCATCCTATATATCTATCTCTCATTCCACGTCGTCATCCCACAAACCAATCATCTCTAGTTTTTCCCGCTCACCTCCATTGTTATTAAGTAATGTGGGGGATTGGAATTTTTGAAGTAGTATTCTAAAGTCATCGGTACTGGGGTTTATAATACTTATAAATTTATCATTAGTATTACTTACAATGTATTGCTACCGCATGGGACTAATCTTCTCAAGAACTCATTGAGGATCGTCCGTTTACAGAGTCCATTCCCCACAAATTAGGAGCGGAACTCCTCACACCGATTATTTATGCATCCAGTCTCTTACACTCAGACTGACCTTGAAACAGCTGCAAAGGTTCAATAATAATATAAGTTAAAGCCGTATGCATGGTTTCTGCTGGAAACTTTTGTTACTGTGACCTGTGTGCCCTGTTAATGTATAAAGTGACGATACCGCCAATTAGAGAGCAGTGGATTATCGATCGGATCAAAGACACGTAAAACCCGTGTGAGCAGTCTACAGTACTTATCGATCTTGCTTCCTGCCTAGCCCAGCCAATTAAGTCCAGAACACCGATCTGAGCCTCTGCGATACGAATCATTTATTTCAATCGTACTGCGGTTTATATACCAATCAGACAGACCACATCGTATCAATAAAATAGAAAACAACATTTATATAAGATTTGGATTAATGTGGATGTGAATGTGGGAGGTAGTAATCAATAGACAAGGCATAATTCAAGAATGGTAAGTCGTGTAATAATGGTTCATAGGTTGAAATAAAGCCCATAATAAGAAGGACATGAATATGTATATTTTAGTTATTTAACAATTATACGATAAAAATATACGCATAGTACTGGTCCATAGATGGATCCCAAAAGTAACCATTCATTATGCTTATGGGGGCATAACATTTACAAGTTTTACGAAGTATATGGCTACTACATAAACATCCTATTTAACTTATAACACTTGTCTAATATAATTCTATCTTCGATGATTGTTCAAATGTTATCTACCTTAACTGAAAATTATTTTCGTTGTTAAAAGATGTGTCATTTTATATTTTAACATCAGGTATTCAGTATATTGCTAAAAAACTTGGGATTGATTGTGCAGAAGCTGTTGTTGGTTGGACATTTCATGGTAGTGGTTGGGCTCATCCAAATCTAAAAGGATATGTTGTTTGCAAAGAGTCTGTACCAGTTCTTATTGATGCATGGCGTACAGAACAAATGAATGCAGCAAAATTAGAGCATGAAGAACGAATAGAACGTGCGCTAAAAAACTGGAAACGATTAGTTCGTGGACTTTTTATATGGCATCGAGTTAAAGCACAATTCGCTTTAGCTCCATTGCATAATAAACAGGCTACTATTGAAAAATACGAAAAAAACAAAACAGTAAAACATAAAAAAATAACTGGCAAAAAAGGCATTCCATTGTATCTTAAAGAAGAGGAAGAGAAAATTCTTCAATCTTCAATCTCTCTAGATATCCCAGTCAAAAATGTTGAAACTGACAAAGGATGGATACGTTTAGGTACAGATGAAAAAGCTCATTTATTACCTAAATTATTGTCAATCGCTAAATCATGCACTCCCAAACGTTGTAATCCACCTAGAAAAAAGCGTAATACAATTAAATATAAAGAATCTTCAAGTGAAGCATCGGCTACAGAGATACCAAGCTCAAAAGATGATTCAGCAGATGAATTTGTAGAAAAATTTGATTCTAGTGAATAGGTATGCCTCTTTTTATTATAAAAATTCCAAATATATCCTTAGTTATCAGATTTATACACTTGAATTTAATTAGTGAATAACAGTTACCATGATACTCTCATATTTAAGCCCTCATCATTCACTAATGCAATCAGAAACCATATACTACTGGCGGATATAATCAAACAAGTATAGATTTGTATAGTTTGTTGCATAGTATATATATTACAAGTTGAAATTTCAATGATTTGTAAAGTGAATTTTTGTTTCTTGAATTAAAATAAAAGAATGCTGTCCAACAGGACTGTACAAGGATACATACATTGTTGCTGAGTGAGTGATAGCTTCTCACAAGACTAAATTATTTGCATAAGTCTACGAATAATTTTAAAGTCAAAGATAAGACCACTAGTCAAAAAATGAGTTTTCTATCTAAGAAAATGTCATAGGCAATTGGAATAACTTAGTTTATACATTTCTTTGCAATTAGGATCTGATCGTTAGGCTTATTCTACTAATAAATCAAACCACATGTGTGTGAGTTATAATAAGCGTTGATGTCTAGCTAAATTGCCACAGAATTTTATTTGAAAACATTTCATTTGTCGACCTGGTTCTTTACCAACGGTATTACAAGATTGAAATGCTAATCCGTGAATAATCTCATTTTAATCACTCAATATTGTGTTCGAATTTCATGTGAACTATAGATATGTATATCTGCGTCTACATGTCACATTAGCTACTAGGCTACAGCTTACTTACTTACGCCTGTTAACCCTCGTGTAGGAGCATAAGCCGCTCACCAGCATTCTCCATCGAACTTTGTCTTAGCCAATCCTTTCCAGTTGCTATTCATTCTACTCATGTTTGCTTCCAATTTTCGGCTCAGCGTGTTCTTTGGCCTTCCTCTTTTCCGTTTTCCTTCAGGATTCCAAGTTAGGGCTTGTTTCATGATGCAATTTGATAATGTCTATAACGTATTTCCTATCCACCTCCACCGTCTTTTCCTAATTTCCTCTTCAGCTGGAAACTGGTTTGTTCTCTCCCACAGTAGGCTATTGCTGATGGTATCCGGCCAACAGACATTGAGTATCTTGTCTAGACAATTGCTTAAAATACTTGTACATTTAAGTTGGATACTGACTCAATGGTCTACAGTTTAAGTGTTCGTTCGCGAGACCAAGGGTACTGGGTTCGAGTCCCACATGCGGGATCGTGGATGCGCACTTCTGAGCAGTTTCATACTAGGACGAAACAGCCATCCAATGCTTCCAAGTTTTAAATGATGATCGGTTCATGATATTAACTGTTTATAGGTTGTTTTTTTTTATAAATTGTATTATATCCTCTTTCCTGTCCAACTCTTATCACAAATATCAACCAATAATATGTAAATAAAACTATTTCTAGATTAAAATATCTCAAACTTCACTGATAGACATTAAAAAAACACTGTCTTGTTTTGGTGGTTTTGTACTCCGAGCCGGATGGTTTTGTCACGAAGCTTTCATAGTTCTTCCGAATGATGTCATTGGCACAAACTTAACTCTTGCTTAAAGTTTTTGCTGATGATATTATTCAGGAGAGCTATGAAAGCTCCATGACAAAACCATCCAACTCAGACAAAAAAACTACACAAAAGTCATCCACATGAACTACAAATCTTCACCACCATCTCAACACTATTTTATGGTTATAATTTAGTCTAACAGAAAGCAATATGTTTTGAGATAACACTCGGGTTCACTTTTGTAAGTGAACATTTTAAAATCACACTAACGGTGAAACTAAAATTTATGGACGACCTTCGAGCGACGCTAGACTAACTTTGAGAGTGTCCAACTAATAACTAGGACCAAATGAGAGTTATAAACCAGTGTGAGTAATTGGAATTATGATTTACAGTTGATGATTAAAGTTATGAATTAGATTACGGGTTTTCATCACGAACTGACATAAACTATAATGACAAAACTCTATTTATCCAAATGGATGAGCGAATTTCGCGCTAAAATCCGAGACCTGTTATCTTATATCTGATTGATTCATCCATAAATTATAGTCTCTCGCCCACACTAACTATCGTATTCAATGTGTAACGAACAGATTAAAGTAATATTAATAATATTGAAACTATAGTCTTGGAAGTATTCTGTACTTCATTTCTTTTTTGTTTTTGTTTTTGTTTCTGGATTATATCATAAAATTTGTATTGTAAAACATTTATTTCAGGATCTGAATTATGCATTGAATGATCAATAATTTCAAAGTAGAAATTCAATTCATTTTATTAACCTTAAAAAGAAACCCTTGAACATTATATATATATGCATTTATATTCAATAGATCTTTATAAATTTATTTATTTATTTTTCAAGTGAGATTTTAAATTGTACTTTTGCGCCAAATCTTTTTATTTTAATCATGTTTAATTACCTTCATTCATATTCATATTTTTTTTCTACATGTAAAATGCATTTCCACTTCTATTTCATTACAGATTTGATGAACATGTACTTTACTTAGAAAAGAAATACATTCAAGATTTTTTTTTTTAAAGAAACTTTCTATTTGTAACCAATTCTGAACTTGATATTTGATAAAGTTAGCAGTTAATCTGTAAATTTTGTTAATAACAGACTAAACATGTACAGTATTATTATTATTATTATTATTGTTATTATTATTATTATTATTATTATTATTATTATTATTATTGATGATTTCTTTTTTCTAATTACTTGTTGATTGATGATTATTGTGATTTTGTTTAAATGTGTGTTTGTCTGTTCAATTGTTTAGTATAAATTTTATAGAATACAAAATGATACTTTAAAACTGACCTGACAGCGAGACTATAATTCATGGACGACCTTTTCACGACGCTGAAGTGACATTGAAAGTGTTCACCTAATAACTAGGAACAAATGAGAGTTATAAACCTGTGTGAGGAATCAGAATTATGATTTATAGTAATTGGTTAGGGTTGGGAATTCGATTTAGAGCTTTCATCACGAATCAACATAAGCGATACTGTCAAAACTTTATTTATTGAAATGGAAGAGTGAATTTTCCGCCAAAATCCGAAACCTGTTATGTAATACCTGATTGATTCTTTTATAAATTATAGACTCGTTGATCTGACAATTAACTTCAGTGTATGTATACTTCTTGCCACTGAAGTCTTTGTATCATGAATAAAAAAGATGTATAGTTGTAATATACACGAAGTTATTTGTTCTTTGATAAAGATATTCACACATCTATTAACTAATGTTTATCAGCTGAGTTCTATTGTGTAGTGATAAAAAAATGGAAACTTCATCAGGTATCTGAGTTGTCTTTACATCTTAACAACGATCTCATTTAAAGGATTCGTCAAATTACCACATTAACTGTTACGTATAAAATATCTTTCACAACATATGAAAACTAAGTCAGTTAGTGAATCAATTGTTAACTTATAAAATTGACGTGAATGAGATCAATGTTGAAAAAATCAAGCAAACATATAGATATATGGTGTTATTCAGATCAGGAATTGACCGGAACCGACCTTAAGTTTAATTGAACCAACGGTAAATACTTTACTAGTTCTTGGAGTTTTCATATATTTTTGGAACTGAATGCTTTTTTGCTTAAGTTTTCGGTATAGTAAAACATTTTAATTGAATAAATTTGTAAACCTACTATTTGATGTTGAAAGGCTAACATTATGCTTTTCATTTGTATTGGAAATCAATATAAGTTATTCGAATTTATTCCAGTTAGAATGTCAAGCAGGTCGTTTACTAAGTTGTGAACCGTGTTTATCGTGAGTACATTGATAAGCATAGTTGCTTGACTTGGTCAAAAAAATATATATAGTAATAAGTCTATAACATGATGTCTAATATTGGAGTTCTGTGTGTGACCGTGGATGCGCACTGATAAGAAATCCCATACTAAAATGGAATGGCCGTCCTGTGCTTACAGGTTTTCAATGGCGGTCTAGTTTAGACCGACTTGTGAATTCAACTGTGCAAATACTGCAATCTCCATCCTGATAATGTTTATATTATTTCAGTCACAAGGTCTATAATCTTTCAAACTAAATCATTATAAACATCATTATGGTGTTTCTCACCATCATATCATTTAACATATCAACTTACTGTGTTTACCTACAACAGTCCAAATATGAAGTCCTTTAAATCAAATCACTTCTATACTACTTCTACTCTGAACTCATCGTCTTTAGTTTCTTCGTTGACACTTGAAAATCCTCAAAACTGTAAAGAATTAGTTGTTTCAAACTTTCCCCTATTGATTTTGTAAATTATAAGTTCATGATGTAATATCTTTTATCTTGTTTTATGTAGTGTAATGAAACCGGCTTCAGGTTTTACATCTTTTCGTAGTCAAGTACGCATAACACCTGGAGCTGTTGTCTGTTCTGAATGTGAACTATCTGGTGAGATAATCATCGGTGCAAATACTATTATTCATCCAAAAGCTCGTATAATCGCTGAAGCTGGCCCAATACATATTGGATCATTTAATTTAATTGAAGAACAGGTGGAAATTGTGAATAGAATTCCTGGTACCATAATGAAAATTGGTGATTACAATGTGTTCGAAGTTAGTTGAACCAGTGTCACACTGGTTCTCATTTATTACTATCGTTTTATTACGAGTTTGTCTATATCTCTGTACTTATATTAGTATATTTCCTACTTATGTTCTGCCTATTATCGTTCATTTATTTTTCTCACAAATTTATGTGAAATGTTCAAATGATTCGTGTAGAATTGCTTCTTCATTTACGACACTTATCATATAATCCATTAACGGTTATTTTCTCCACTCTTTATATTAAGGTAGGAGCACATTGCTATGCTTTAGAAGTTGGTGATAATAATGTTTTTGAAGCGAAGTGTCATATTGGATCAAATGTTAAAATAACTCATGGTTGCGTAATTGGTGCAATGTGTTCAATGGATTCTGGTGAAACATTACCAGAATGTACTGTTGTATACAGTGACGAAGTGAGTATTATTAACACTCATTTTTACCATGTATATCATCCATAAATATCATCTGCATAATAATAATAATATATATATTTGCATTATAAACTACTGGGTGCATATCTTAAACCATAAAGGATTTTTGATAGTTGTACTCTTACAATTTCTTCGTCACATAATACATGTGCCAAATATGTGGTTTTGTTCGGTTTCTATATTTCGCTTTACGTAGCTAGTTTCTAGTGTTATTTTGTCTGATTTTACCAAGAAGAGTATACAAGTGAGGGTTATAATGTTATGATATGACTCAATTACCAAGTACAGATTCTTATGCTCAGCCTTAAATCATATTTCCTATGTGGCGGTTAGCGATACTACATGTTCCATCTGCTCTTCTAGTTAGTTGGACATCTAGAAACGGTATGCTATTATTCTGTTCTTCCTCTAGTGTAAAAGTAATTGATGGATGAATGTTACTAAATATATTAAGAAAATTCTCCTTTTCATGATCTTTTTCTAATACTATGAAAGTATCATCTATATAGTGACAATAAGATGTTAGATGGCTAATTTTGTCTTTAAGAGGTCCATTTTACTGTGGAGAGAGTTATATAGGGCATAAAATTCGACAGGTTCGTCATCGTATAACAGAACACCATCCGTCGTGGTTGAGCAAAGGACAAGTAAGAATGATTATAAGTTCTATTCTCGCTCACTTGGTGGACACAGGTCATCAAATTGATCTGAATAGTATATCTTTCTTTACCAGTGTGTAGATTATGTCTCATCCTTTTGATGACGAATACTTCAACAATTCAGAGTACATTATTTTATGATAATTTACTTACTCTTCAACCTAATTGTTTGTCACTCTTTGTAGAACATGTATCTCACTATATTGTACATATGAATCTAGTTCGATTTACTTTGATCATTTCTACATTTCTATGTTCTGTTCTCGATGTATTATTAAAATTAATAAAAAGAAGTAAATATTTTTATAACACAAATATAATCTAAGCTACCAGTTGGAAACCTGTTCCACCCAACTCGGTTTAAACAACTGAACAATATCACTAATCCGCATACAGAAAGTGTGGTCCATAGTCGAACACATAAACTTGTACATAATTGGTGGGTTAATTCACAACAAAATTCAAAAAAGTCAAACTTAAATCCGCTCTTCGAATTCCTAATAATTATCGCAAATTTAACCGTCGAGATAACCAATTGTATTCGAAACATTCAGTAAATATTATTGTTTCTCTACAACTGATCGTTACGTAGTAACCAACCGATTGTAAATATATTACTCCTACAGGATGTCAGTCGCTGCTCGAATAGCTTTGTAGTAATGTCGAAATATGTGAAAACGGGGTAATCCGTGTTTAAAACCACCAAGAGGCGTCAATTTCCTCAGGACTGCAGGTACGCCTTACTATTGAGTACCAACTAGCACGAGAACTAGGTTTAAGGTTCCTCGCCGACTACTTTCATACATTTATTTCTTTGTTTAACACATTTAACGAACAAACTAAAATAGAACTACACTATCATGTGGTCTACATTCATTTTTCCAACATTAATGCAAATCACCAAATAGCATTGTAGCAAATTGTTTCAAAGTCATAAAACAGTGTTTTAGCTAATAGACATTAACGATAACATCAGTCAGTCATCAACATGGACTCTGGTACAAGTGTTAGTATATATCTGTCCACATTACCGCACCTCAAATCAATAAAGTAAAAGAAAATGAACGAAATGAAAAGTATAAAATGAAAAATTATATCGAAATGAAGGTGGATCTAAATATCCTAAACAACATTCAAAAGGATTCTATCGCAAGATGGAACTATAAGAGTAACACATCTTTATAACACCAAATTGTTTAATAATAAACCTAGTAAGTCATTGATTAAATAGATTGGGGAAAATACAAATTTTTCGTTGGTTTTTGATATGATGGAATAAAAAGATGACGTTAATTAGGTCAGTGTTTTTTCCATCAATTCATTAGAGTTTTGGCCGTGGTGACAGGGGCCAACTTTGTTCAGTGTGGTATTTTGAGGTCAATATTGTTGTGTATCAATTCAGTATTCATTTTGTTCTAGATAACAATTGTGAACTCTCGTTCAGTGTAACAATTTTATTCCCTGTATTAGTACAGACGAGCTGTATTTACACTAACTCCATGCAATACTATTAAATGTATGTGAAAGTCGGTATATAAATGATTTTAATGTGGTCTAAGGATGATATGATTTGGGACATTTTTGGAGACGTGTTTTTGCTAAGTCAATACATCTACATTGCACCGGTCTTTCATATTTTCACTTTTAATCCTGGGAATTGTAGTTGGTTCCCGTTTTTCCTGTTTAAGCACTCGGTTCCCGATTGTCAAATAAAAACAGTAAAGATGCAGATTCCACAGAGTTGATACGCACATAACAACAATGACTCTGCAAATGTAACAGTTATCTGTTTAGTTACATTATTGCAGACGGAGCCAATTTTACTGTTATAATAGTTAGTTGTTACTGAAATATACCTACATATATATGTACTTTATCTTAAATGTTTTTTTTTTAGGAATATATTTCTATTTGTTTTAATTTTCTTTTAGGGACATCGTCGTATTGCAACTGAACGTCCAGCTGCACAAACATTACAATTAGATTTTCTAACAAAAATTCTACCAAATTATCATCATTTAATGAAAGTTAGTCGAACTTCCACACCAAAACCAACTGAAAAACAATAATCTATCCTACATTTGTTTGTTTTATTCTTTCTTCTCTCTTGTAATTGACTTATTTAAAACGTTATACAAAATAGGTGGAATGTTTAATAAATATAATCTCCTTTTAAATTTATTTTTTTAGTTTTGAAATGGTATCTGTTTCCTTCCTAATATAAACTGAATTGTATTATTGGCTGTGTAAATCAATTAATCTGTACAAATAAGTATTATTATTGTTTGGTTGTCATCCTTTTTTTTTCTGGTATATTTTTGGTTACTTAATCAATAAACAAATAAATAAATAATTCATATCAGAAAGGTTTTTGTGAATATTATAGTAATTTCAGTGGTTGAGATCATGAGTTAACTAAAGCTAGACCACCATGGAAAACCTGGAAGCACTGAATGGCCGTTTTGTCTTATTGTGATTTGAATCTCGCGAAGTGGAATCGTGAATGCACACTGCTGAGGAGTTCCACAATTGGACGAAACGTCCATCCAGTGCTTCCAGGTTTTCTATGATGGTCTAGCTTCAATTGACTCATGATCTCAACCATTGAAATAATCTATTGAATGAATGAAGAAAACTTGTTTTCTATATTTCAAAGCCCGTGTAAAGATATTTCATGCACAAATTAGTTCTTATATAATGAGGAATTGTCATTCTTCATTTTCCTTAAGTAACCGGAAGCTGGCTAATTAATGCACTTATTAAACTAAACGACTTAAATTCATAGTTCTTATCTGATAAAAAAGAACTAATTTCTACAATAAGAAAAGGGTGTTGCTTTAAATACATCCAGCTAATATATAATGGTTATAGAATTTTTAGCTTTTATGTACAATAGTATATAGAAATTTTGTTGTGTTCTTATTGATTTGGTTATTCCGTTAAATCTAGTGCCCGTTCGTATTTCTCCTACTATGCTTTAAATGCAATTGATGAAATTGTATTAGTTTATTTGTGAGATATTTTTGTCATATTAAGCATTGTTCGTTACTTACTCTATGGTATTTTGTAGAGACTGTTGAATTTTCTAGATTGCTTCACGAACTTATCAAAGCTGGACATCCATCGGAAATCCGGGAGCGTTGGACAGCTGTTTCGTCCCACTATGGGACTCCCCAGTAGCGCGCCTCTATAAACCCATCGAGAGCTAAACCCAAACCTTTGAAGTCGCAGACACACACCACTGAGAAGTTTCACAATAGTACGAAACCGCTATCCAGTGTTTCTTGATTTTCAATGGATGTTAAGTTTGTGGCTACATTCACTAGTTTTATTAATAAAGTGTCGAATGCTTTTATCAAACCACAGGTTTTCTTAATGTTTGTATATCAAAAATATTTAGATACCTATATGAAACGTAATGAATACTCGACTCATACCAGATGAAACTATATCAGCTTTACCTGGAGAAAGTGGAAGTATTGCTGAAGCAATTGGACCTGTTGAAGGATTAGCACAACCATCCTCAGGAGAACCGGTAGATCGACGTAATGCAATTGCTTTAACTGCAGCTTTCAATTTCACTGGTACAACACCATCAGCTAATGGCGCAACCATGCAAGAATACTTTGTACAAGTTAGTATTTCTTTAGCAATTTTTAAAGGTTCCCTCTTAGTGTAACATTTGAGGATCAATTACTAACTTATAAAGACATAAATCCAGCTCGTAATTACAATCGTCATTCAGTAGAAACAAAACAATCATAAAGCGAAGACCAGTAGGTGTTTTCATTAATAGACAACATTGTCAAACACTAAACAAATATATAGGAGTGGTGTTCTAGGTTCGAATCTCGCGAGGCGGGATCGTGGATTCGCACTGCTGAGGAGTCCCACACTAGGACGAAACGTTTGTCCAGGTTTATTTGACTCATAAATTCAACTGTGAAGTTCCGATACCTCAATGAAGTTATCTCTATATAATGAGAAAATACTACTACTAATTAATTATTTATTCCGTGAGCCGAACACACACGAAGAAATACTCAGTTTTTGTTATTTTCTCATACAATGACCTGTTTTATAGCTAATATATCCTTGTAAAATCCATACGCACTAATTCCGATGTTTGAGAGAGGTTATATATTACAAATTTCATAAATAAATTAAAATTTTTATCCCTTTTTTTCAATTTCAATGTTCAATAGACAGTGGTTTCATCTCCTATTCAACATGAATTATTATTGAATCGATTGCATGGTTTATGCCGTGAATGGACAGATTTCTGTGATCAAGAAACTATATTCGAAATAGGAAGTGATAATCGAACTGATGCAAATAACCTCATAGGTATGAACAGATCATCTGGAAATACATCCGCTGCAGTTGGAATCTTAGCTGCCAATGCATCAGGTAGTGCAACTGTCACTATACGTGTTCGTCGAAGTCTTTTAAGTAGAGTAAATAAACCTGGTCGGGAATTTTCTGTTCTACGATATTTAGGAGCTGTAGAAACTGATAAAATAGTAAGTTTATATATATGGTTTGTAAATTGTTCTAAATCAGTGAAAATATCTACTATGCAATTCAAAATTGGTTTTTGGGTCGTGCTTGAACTAAATTACATAACACACCTACTCTTAAGGTAGATTGTTTGTTAAGGTAATTGATGTCGTTCATTGTGTAATTAAGACTGTTTAGTAAAGCTAGATAATGTTCTCCCAATCTTACTTTCACTTGCAATCTTAACTCTAATTTTCGCAGGTTTGTAAACTGGAAGATAGTAAGGTATTGCATTATCGCCGATTTCAGTTCGTGTTAAAAATATTGATCTTAATTTGTAAATCTAACTCAAAAGTTCAGTTTAACTCTTAATACCTAGCTTAACCTTTCATCCATTATAATGGATGTCATTTGGCGTCAAAAATTTACAGTGTGATCACCACAACTCACAACAATTAACCCGACTCAGAGTACGTATATATATAAACATGACCTCTTCTCTTTACTACAACGGGAAATTTAACTTGTATGTGTTAATTATTACGGTGAAATCCGTTATTCCATTACTTTGTATTGTTAATTGTTTTATAACTAAGCAGCATTTCCTGATTAGGTGATAGATCTCCCAAGGTCTTCAGTATATTATGTGATCGTTAGTGGGCACTACTGAGGAGTTCTAAACTAGGATAATGTAGCTGATTTATACATTTAGGTTTTGAGTGATACATCAGCTGATATCAGTCGATAACATAACCATTTACAGATTAATCTTCTCTTATCTGTCAACCATATGATATTATTACGTTGGGGTATGTATGAATAGCGTAATTAGACTTTTATCGGAAAATCTCCTTAAAAAGTTTCCTTGAACAACCTATAATTAAGATGATTCATAGTCGTTGGTTTGCGAAAATAAGTATAGTTTCGCAGCATTTAAACAGATGACACAGAATAATAATTGGTCATATGCACATGTGCGTACCGTATTTGCTTCGATTTCATTCCTCACGGTTTTTTCTTACCATAGTTCTAATATTTATAAGTTAACCTGTTGTCACGTTCACCCAAGTTGTAAGTAAAGTCATGTCTGGTTAAAAAAATACACTATCAGGACTTCTGATTAAGCTATTCTGCTTGTACGGAATTTCAATCTGTTGATTACATGTCGTTTTGTAATTGTTCATTTAGACCTGCCGTATCAGTGTATGCATATATTATTATAAACATATGTGCTGATTGATAGTTGAAACTAGTTTTTTTTTAATTAGGCCCAAATATTGACTAGCTAATGGGTAATCAGTATTGAATAATTATTAACCCCTGTCCCAACTTTTTCAATTGCTTTACGTCGATCAATCTCAACACTATCTCCTTAAGTTATTATTCTTTTTAACTGATGAATGTCGACTATCGTTCTCATCTATAAGCCTTTGTTTTCATCATGAGGACTTTAGAACCAATATTCGGCCATTCATTCACTAGATAGACCTTTGCTTCTTTTCCGTTACCTTACGAGTTAATTGTGTATAGACATAATCCTAGCAAAGCTTGGTATTGCGTGATAGTTAAACAGGTTAACATCTGAGAGTATTTTAAATAAGAGAAATGGTAATGTGACAGTTGTTACGAACTGAGAGTATTTTAATGTGTCTTAAGTTTTGTCACATCATTCTGTTTATTGCTAAGCATGCTACTTATCTCATTAGAGCATTAAAAAAGTTTTAAATACAGATGGATAGGCGATAACAGTGGAGTTCAGGAAGTGTGTTTCATCCTATTCGAGCTTCAGCTGGATGCACCTGCATCCCAGAGTTGATGTTCACTACGGGACTCGAACCCAGTACCGTTTGTTTTAAATTCCATCGCAACCTCACTGTTAACCATCATCTATTTCTACTTCAATTATTTCCAACTTAATGGTAATATCAAGGCACTCCACACAGGATGCCTATTTACCCAAAGAGACTGATCATTTGCAGTCCTAAACATCAATGGGAAGATACAAACAACCAACATATATGGATTAAAAGAATTAATCTCTTATGATAACCAACAAATACATATAATATGAGATTCGCTAGCTTCTACCATTTACTTTTTATTGACGTCTTCTCAGAATGCATCTTTTATTATTGATCAAAAGTACTTTTATACTTTATCATTTTGTAATGGGATTTCATGTTTTTGTATTTTTTTCTCATATCACTTTTCTTCCATTTTTAATTATGATTTCAGATTTTACGACGTAGTTGTCTTGAAATGCCTGTTACTGGACCAATCGTCAGTTTTCTATATGATTTAGGATTTGATTATGAATCTACATTTGTTGCTGAAGGTCAAGAATTTATTCGTGGACGTGTAAAAGTTTTAGTTTATACAGTTAATGAAATAACCAGCTTTCAAAGTATTGCAACTTCAAACGCTATGGGATTTGGTTTTGATGGACAGGTTAGATGGTTTTTTTTATTATTATGTAATCAAAGATTGATGTTCATATAAAAGTGTTTCTTATCATTTAGTTATACCTAACTTACTTACTTACGCCTGTTACTCCCAATGGAGGATAGGCCGCCGACCAGCATTCTCCAACCCGCTCTGTCCTGGGCCTTCTTTTCTAGTTCCATCCAATTCTTGTTCATTTTTCTCATATCTAGCTCCATTTCTCGGCGTAATGTGTTCTTTGGTCTTCCTCTCCTCCCTCGGCCTTGAGGATTCCATGTGAGGGCTTGTCTTGTGACGCAGTTGGGTGCTTTCCTCAATGTGTGTCTTATCCACTTCCAGCGCTTCTTCCTGATTTCTTCCTCCACTGGGATCTGATTTGTGCTAATAGTGTCCAGCCAGCGAATCTGAAGTATTTTGCGTAGACAACTGTTAATAAACACCTGTATCTTCTGGATGATGGCTTTCGTGGTTTTCCAGGTTTCCGCCCCATACAGTAGAACTGTCTTGACATTTGTATTGAAAATTCTGACTTTGGTGTTGGTTGCCAATTGTTTTGAGTTCCAGGTAGTTCTTCAGTTGTAAATATGCTGCTCTTGCTTTTCCGATCCGTGCCTTCACATCTGCATCAGATCCACCGTGTTCATCGATGATGCTGTCCAAATGTGTAAAGGTTTTTACGTCTTCCAAATCTTCTCCGTCAATTGTGATTGGATTATTGCATGCTGTGTTGTATCAGAGAATCTTGCTTTTCCCTTTGTGTATATTAAGACCTATTGCTGCTGAGGCTGCAGCTACACTGGTTATCTTCTCCTGCATTTGTTGTTGCGTATGCGATAGAAGGGCCAGATCATCTGCGAAGTCTAGATCATCCAATTGCATCCTAGCTGTCCACTGTATCCCGTGTTTCCCTTCAGATGTTGACGTCTTCATGATCCAGTCGGTCACCAGGAGAAAGAGAAAGGGTGAGAGTAAGCAACCTTGCCCGACACCGGTCTTTACCTCGAAGGAGTTTGTCAACTGACCTCCATGCACGATTTTGCAGTTTAATCCATCATAGGAATTCCGTATGATATTGACTATCTTCTGAGGCACGCCGTAGTGTCGAAGAAGCTTCCATAGGGTTGTTCTGTCCACGCTATCAAATGTTTTTTTGTAGTCAATGAAGTTGATATAGAGTGATGAGTTCCATTCAATTGATTGTTCCACAATGATCCGTAGAGTTGCGATTTGGTCTGTGCACGATCTATCCTTACGGAATCCTGCCTGTTGGTCTCGAAGTTGGGCGTCTACGGAGTCCTTCATCCTGTTTAACAATACCCTGTTGAAGACTTTTCCTGGTATTGAAAGAAGAGTGATTCCCCTGTAGTTGTCACAGTTGCTGAGATCGCCTTTCTTTGGTATTTTGACCAGAAGTCCTTCTTTCCAGTCTTTTGGTACCTGTTCCTCATCCCAGATCTTTCTGAAGAGAGTTTGGAGTATCCTTGCAGTTGCCGCTACGTCTGCTTTCAGTGCCTCTGTTGGAATGCTGTCTAGTCCTGCTTCTTTGCCACTTTTGATTTGTCTGATAGCCATGCTGATTTCTTCAATTGTTGGTGGGCCAACATCGATTGGGAGGTCCGTGAGTGCTGCTTCGATGTTGGGTGGGTTCAGTGGGGCTGGTCGATTCAAGAGTTCTTTGAAGTGTTCTACCCACCTACCTACTATCCAACAATTTTACATTATACACATAACATTTTAATATGAAAAGATTTTAGGTATAACTAACTTCGCCTGGAGCCCCTCCGAGGGTTAATGCCGGTCCCAAGCCCGGATAAAGGAGGAGGGTTGGGCATGGGGTTAGCGACCCCATCCCGTAGAAAACTAACTCGCTAAAAAACGCTAACCAGAAAAAATTATTCAAACCATTTAAACTCTGCCCTGAGAGTCAGGAGGTCTTCGTTTAGAAGAATTATGACGCCTCATGATGAAAGCCGATTACCTTCGGAAGTCACGAGGCCGATGCCCCTTCTGACAACTAGAGCAACCATTTATTTAGGTACATGGACAGCATTAATGCAACTTCTTGTGTATGTGGGGCATTTTCTTCTTCATGTCCGGAGTATAACAGCAGCTCCCCTGAAGCTAGTCGTTGTTGTCCAACTTGCGTCCAATGTGTTTCACTGATCCCAAGCACCTCTAGGTTGTATCTCCTCATTTCTGCAACAATTTGGAAAACTCTCCCAGTCTCCCACATTGTGCGAGCATTTCATGTACCTAAATAAATGGCTGCTCTGGTTGTCAGAAGGGGCATCGGCCTCGTGACTTCCGAAGGTAATCGGCTTTCATCATGAGGCGTCATAATTCTTCTAAACGAAGACCTCCTGACTCTCAGGGCAGAGTTTAAATGGTTTGAATAATTTTTTCTGGTTAGCGTTTTTTAGCGAGTTAGTTTTCTACGGGATGGGGTCGCTAACCCCATGCCCAACCCTCCTCCTTTATCCGGGCTTGGGACCGGCATTAACCCTCGGAGGGGCTCCAGGCGAAGTTAGTTATACCTAAAATCTTTTCATATTAAAATGTTATGTGTATAATGTAAAATTGTTGGATAGTAGGTAGGTGGGTAGAACACTTCAAAGAACTCTTGAATCGACCAGCCCCACTGAACCCACCCAACATCGAAGCAGCACTCACGGACCTCCCAATCGATGTTGGCCCACCAACAATTGAAGAAATCAGCATGGCTATCAGACAAATCAAAAGTGGCAAAGAAGCAGGACTAGACAGCATTCCAACAGAGGCACTGAAAGCAGACGTAGCGGCAACTGCAAGGATACTCCAAACTCTCTTCAGAAAGATCTGGGATGAGGAACAGGTACCAAAAGACTGGAAAGAAGGACTTCTGGTCAAAATACCAAAGAAAGGCGATCTCAGCAACTGTGACAACTACAGGGGAATCACTCTTCTTTCAATACCAGGAAAAGTCTTCAACAGGGTATTGTTAAACAGGATGAAGGACTCCGTAGACGCCCAACTTCGAGACCAACAGGCAGGATTCCGTAAGGATAGATCGTGCACAGACCAAATCGCAACTCTACGGATCATTGTGGAACAATCAATTGAATGGAACTCATCACTCTATATCAACTTCATTGACTACAAAAAAACATTTGATAGCGTGGACAGAACAACCCTATGGAAGCTTCTTCGACACTACGGCGTGCCTCAGAAGATAGTCAATATCATACGGAATTCCTATGATGGATTAAACTGCAAAATCGTGCATGGAGGTCAGTTGACAAACTCCTTCGAGGTAAAGACCGGTGTCGGGCAAGGTTGCTTACTCTCACCCTTTCTCTTTCTCCTGGTGACCGACTGGATCATGAAGACGTCAACATCTGAAGGGAAACACGGGATACAGTGGACAGCTAGGATGCAATTGGATGATCTAGACTTCGCAGATGATCTGGCCCTTCTATCGCATACGCAACAACAAATGCAGGAGAAGATAACCAGTGTAGCTGCAGCCTCAGCAGCAATAGGTCTTAATATACACAAAGGGAAAAGCAAGATTCTCTGATACAACACAGCATGCAATAATCCAATCACAATTGACGGAGAAGATTTGGAAGACGTAAAAACCTTTACACATTTGGACAGCATCATCGATGAACACGGTGGATCTGATGCAGATGTGAAGGCACGGATCGGAAAAGCAAGAGCAGCATATTTACAACTGAAGAACTACCTGGAACTCAAAACAATTGGCAACCAACACCAAAGTCAGAATTTTCAATACAAATGTCAAGACAGTTCTACTGTATGGGGCGGAAACCTGGAAAACCACGAAAGCCATCATCCAGAAGATACAGGTGTTTATTAACAGTTGTCTACGCAAAATACTTCAGATTCGCTGGCTGGACACTATTAGCACAAATCAGATCCCAGTGGAGGAAGAAATCAGGAAGAAGCGCTGGAAGTGGATAAGACACACATTGAGGAAAGCACCCAACTGCGTCACAAGACAAGCCCTCACATGGAATCCTCAAGGCCGAGGGAGGAGAGGAAGACCAAAGAACACATTACGCCGAGAAATGGAGCTAGATATGAGAAAAATGAACAAGAATTGGATGGAACTAGAAAAGAAGGCCCAGGACAGAGCGGGTTGGAGAATGCTGGTCGGCGGCCTATCCTCCATTGGGAGTAACAGGCGTAAGTAAGTGAGTAAAATTGTTGACCTTTTAACTTCCAATCCAAATGAAATTTTATATGACAGTGTACTTATGATAAAGAATGATGACTTATTAATTAAGATCTGTATTTCTGTGTTAATTGTTAACTTTTCTAAATTACATTTACCAGTAAATTTTGTTACATATTTGTAGCTTCTAATTCTAACTGCGTTCTAACACTCACATAATATTGGGGAAATGCTGTTTCATGAAGAGTGAAGACTTTTAACAGTAGAATTCACAAGTTAATCTAATCTAGACCACCATTGAAAACTTGGAAGCACTGGACGGTCGTTTCATCCCAGTATGAAACTCCTCATCAGTGCAAATCTATAGTCCTGCGCGCGAGACTCGAACTCAGGACCTTCGGCCTTTCACGCGAACACTTTACATCTGGACCACTGATCCGGCACCTAGTTAAGGCTTCACTAATTATTTATATGCTATATTTCAACAGGTTAACTTAATTATTCTTAACGCTCTAAAGCATAAGGAGAGACATCGTCTAACATGGCGACCCCCTTCACCAAACCAACGATGGACTCAAATAGACCATATTGCCATCAGTCATCGTTGGAGAGGGTCGGTAGAAGATTGTCGCTCATTCTGGAGTACCTGCTTGGACTCCGACCATGCCCTAGTACGAGCACGCATCTGCTTGCGCCTCACTGGACGCAAAAAAGACTCATTAGAACCGAATTGAGTAATGAGAAAACCAAAAGTAGGTTCCAGGAACAACTGAGGTCACACTTAGGTAGTTCTCAAAACGAGGCTGACCCCGATGTTGATTGGAAAAACATACAAGCAGCTGCGGAAACAGCAGTGACATATACTAGTGATTTAAACCACAGGATTACAAAGAACCAATGGATTTCTTCAAGGTCTATTGCACTGATAGATTCTCGTAAACTCATCCCATCAGGTTCTGAACACGATGAAGAGCGTAAAGAAACCAGATCTAGGTTAAGCAAAAGTCTAAGGAACGATCGTAAGCAGTGGTGGGCAACGAAAGCAAAAGAGATGGAAAAGGCGGCGGCTATAAGGAACACAAGACAACTCTACAGACTAATAAAAGAAACTGGAATTAATAAATCAAGTGTAAGTCAGACTATTTCGGAAAAAGACGACACTCTCATCTGCTGCCAGTCCAGACGTTTAGAACGATGGGCGGAACACTTTAAGGAGCAGTTTAGCTGGCCTTCAGCTACTCTACAACTATCCTCTATTCCCAGACAGTATGAATGGAACATTGAAGTAGGTCTCCCAACTCTAGCTGAAGTTCAAAAGGTTATAGCTAATCTGAAACGAGGAAGGGTAGCTGGTCCAGATCGATTGGCCCCAGAGGTCTTTAAGGATGGTGGTCTAGTTTTAGCGATTAGGTTGACTAATATTTTAGTTAAAATCTGGGAGTTAGACGTTATCCCATCTAACTGGTCACAATCACTTATCGTCCCAATATTTAAGAAAGGGTCAAAATCATCCTGTGACAACCATAGAGGGATTAGTTTAACTAATATAATATCTAAAATACTAGCTTCGATAATTTTCGGACGCCTAACTAAGACTAGTGAGCTGCAAACACGTGAAAATCAGGCTGGCTTCAGACCTGGTCGTGGCTGCATCGACCACATATTCACCATTCGTCAGGTTCTAGAACACAGGCATACTTATCGGCGCCCGACAATAGTGGTCTTCCTTGACTTAAAAGCAGCGTTTGAATCTGTTGACCGAGAGGTCCTGTAGCAGTGTTTGTCATTGAAAGGCGTACCTCAGAAGTACATAAACCTTGTGAAGGCTCTTTATTCGAACACTACTAGTCGAATGAGAGCTTATGGTGAACTGTCCTCTGCTTTCGCAACCTCAAGTGGCGTCCGCCAAGGCTGTCCATTTTCTCCATTTTTGTTCAACTTCATCATAGACCTCCTGATGGAAATAACGCTCTCATCGACTGAATTCTCGGGTATTGATCTCCTACCAGGAGGTCCACTTATTGACTTAGAATACGCAGATGACATAGTCCTGTTTGGTGAAGACGCTGATGAAATGCAGTCTTTTGGTAGCACTGAGCAACAATGCCAGAATGTTTGGGATGCGCTTCTCTCCCTCCAAATGCAAGTTGTTGCTTCAGGACTGGTCTGCGTCAACACCTGAACTAAGGATAGGGGGTGAAGTAGTCGAACGCGTTGACAACTTCACTTATCTTGGAAGTCTGATCAGCCTTAATGGGTTGGTGTCTGACGAAATCTCAGCACGGATTCGAAAAGCTCATTTGGCCTTTGCCAACTTACGTCATCTATGGCGAAGGCGAGATATCCGTCTATCAATTAAGGGACGAGTATACTGCGCGGCGGTTCGTTCCGTTCTACTATACGGCTGCGAAACATGGCCTTTAAGAGTAGAAGATATTCGTAAGTTACTAGTATTTGACCACAGATGCCTTAGAAATATTGCGGGTATCTGCTGAGATCACCGGGTAAGTAACATTGAGGTTAGACGCAGGGTATTAGCGAATGATGGTAAATCAATTGATGAGGTTATGAATCTTCATCGACTGAGATGGTTGGGCCACGTGCTGCGTATGCCTGAACACCGATTACCACGGCGCGCAATGCTAACCAGTGTTAGGGATGATTGGAAGAAAGTTAGGGGTGGCCAAACCAAAACGTGGCATCAGTGCTTGAAGTCACTAACTTCTGGTCTGAGCCATGTTGGTAGATGCGGACTACCTGGTTGGGGTCCGCGTGACTATCGTAACCAATGGTTGGAGACTCTTGGTGACATGGCTCAGAATCGATCACAATGGCGTCGGTGTATACACTCTCTGTCTTCCTTTAAACTAAGAGATTAAAATCACTTCAAATCTTTCTTTCTAGGAACTAATTCTATCTTCCTGTACTATCTCCTTATACACACGCTTTCTTCTATATATTAACACCACTGAATTAACTACTTCTATGAATCCGGTGTTCATCTTGTTGTGCCAATGCGGTATGGCAACTTGGACCGATGCATATACGTGCCTGGTCCTACGTTGCAGCTGACTGACCAAACTCAATTTTAAAATACTCAAAATCTGATAGAATAAATTTTAGTTATCTTGTGCCTCGGAGTTTGTTATCATAGTCTTTTAAAATTGCGCTTACAAGAGTATCAATTAAAACTTTCTCCTATTGCTAAGTAAATAAGGACTACTGTGTTAATCAGATAAGTTTGCCACTTTTGATTGAACAATTGTATTAAATTTAAACAGTCAGTCAGTTACAACGTAGGACCAGGCACATACATGCCATACCTCATTAGCACAGTAAGACGAACACCGGATTCTTAGAAGCAGTTAACTAAATGTAATATATAAAAGAAAGATTCTATGTAAGGATAGATATGAAGCGATTTTAATCCCATAGTATGAGGAAATATAGAGTGGATATATGTTTATATAATTAATACATATATAAAGGATTGATAGATCTTTTGACTAAATGCCTGAATCGGTTTACTAAGCTCTTCTAGTAACCCCAGGCTAAATCTACAAAACAATTTGAACACGAAAGAAAAGGCGCAAAATCTGTGAAGGACGCTTTACTCCAAGGTTAGTTTATGTACAGAAAATTGAGGGTATCAATAGCAGCTCGGATGGCCTTGGTCTTCTGGAACCCTGCTAAGCATGGTAGCAAGATAGAAATGTGACACGTGACCCTTCACTTTCAAGATGTTTCTGAGAAACCTGTATTCAATGCTGATTGAATAAAATGTTTCACGGCGTTTTCCAAGCCTTTTCGGAGTTTTCTCGATCTCCCCAAAAATGACTACCCAATATACTTCCATGATGTTAGGACTGTTCAATAATTCTTATTAGGAACATTATTATAACTGAATATTTTCATTATATTTTATGCCGTGATAAATACTAACAATAAGAAGCTCTTATATATATATATATATTTTTCTTTCCAATTAACTTCAGGGATTAGCACCCAAAGATTGGCGACGTTTATGTTCTCGTAGTTGGATGGTAGAGATCAGTGTAGTTGGTAGTCCTGCTGATGATCATTTACAAGAGGAAATTACAGATTTTGTCGAACTACTTCATCCAATTATTATACCAACAAAACTTGATAGTAATTTGTTTACTCGTAAATGTTAATAATTTTGTTTGCTTTTCTTTTATCTACTTTTTATCGGATTTTGTATAAATTGTTCATATTCATTTTCTAAAATTGTATTCATGTATGTAAAAATACAGTTTATTGATATGTACAAAAAGTACTTCTACACAAGTTGAATTACATCAAAAGACTGACAATAATAAGTAAATAAAGTACCTTAGGTTGTGGAAACCCTTTATTCTATGCAGGGATGATAGTGCATCTGGTCATCCACAACAAAGTACTCCATCTGGATCCTGCTACAGGCCACTACAAAATATCAATGATGACAGCTGGGTCATTTACAGAAATGAAGGAGAAAAAGTGGTTGCGTGCCAAGCATTAGACTTCATTTAACCAAACTTGAAAAAAAGAACAATGGCAATATTTTGAATTGTCAACTTGTATGCTACTTACGTTGATGGATATGAGTATTATGCAGTCGCAATCGGATGTGGAATGCCTGTCAGCAGATGTCTGCTATGGGGAGAGCAGGAAGGCATTCTGACAGCATTGAAACAACAGAATTAGAGGAATAATGGAGTATGCAAATGACAAGTGATGGAATATGTGCATTTAATGTGTAATTTTAATAAGCTATTGTGTAGTTTTGTATTAAACAGTAAATTGGTTTTCCCCACCTGAGTTCTCATTCGCTTGAATTGTACATTGTTTTAAGTTGTTGCAACATGAGAAATCAACAGGGAATAGAATTCTAGCCCGATAGTAACAAACAATGTAAAAGACCAATGGCAGCGTATGGCGAAAGGCCTTTGGACACTAAATTAATTCGTTCTATTAGCTGTTGCAACTGCTCCACGACAGATTTCAGTGACTTTCCACATCTAATATTCAGTTACATTGAAAATGCGTAAGATAGAATTGCATCCTTGCTTCTCCAATCCATACTTGATAACTTGTAATCAAATATGATGAAAAATACTTACCACTATTGATTATATTCAAGGGATTGTGGGTCTATTTCTACGTTCCATTAAGACTGTTCATTTGGTGGAACATAGTAGCCTCCAGTTGGTCGGATTATATTTGTCTTGGACAACAAAAGTATCATTAGTGTTATTGGTTGAACGGTGGTACAGATATATGTGAAACGAATAAAGTGTATATATGCATTTTTCGTAGTTTTCTAATTTTCGTGTAAGCCAGCTATATTGAGTCAAAGCATCCTCACTATTCAAGATCTAAACCACGCGATAGTCGCACTATATCAGTAAGATTCTTCATCGATTCACTTGACATCCTCATTAGATGATATGTTAAAGATAGCAAGGGGGGCTATATCGTTGTGATATAGGGCTTAACACGAAGTTTATGTTGCAATACATCACGAAACAGGCTTTTAGAAAAATACCCATATGGGGATTGTTAGTGTAAATTCAGGGTCATAAATAGTTGAGTTCTTATTTTGATGCACAGTAGTCTACTGCATTTGTGGTAAAATATCTCCTTGTGGAGGGTGATGTCTCGTTGAATTTTCCTACAATCAATACCTCTAAATATAAAACTTAATTTGAGACTCAGATGCAAAATGAAACTGAAAACCCATGCAAATTATATGGTTCTTTCTTTATTGGATTGACAAAAAAAATCGAACTGAACCTATGCAAGCCTTTATGCTTAGATTTTATGTATCATGGGGATTAGTAATTTGCAGGTTAACGCAACATCTCTTAGAACGATTACAGTTGCGCAAATGAATCTAGAACTCTGTGCACTATCTCGCTTGTCTTTGTTTGCCAACTTTTAACTTAATAACTGTTAAAAGGTGTGAATGTAGTGTCGGTTACTATTTTAAGCCCATATAACTTATTCTAGCTTCTAGACAGGCCAATTTATCCATTCTACTTGAGTCACGTTTTGACCTTGTTAACGATCCGCTTATCAACCTCGACTGTTTTTATATAAACGTATGTATGTGCACTTATCTTATTCATCACATGTATTAAACTTATTTTTGTGTGGCTATTAAAGCTTGATTAAAATGGTCTTGGCTCATATGCTTTCTCCATTGTGTATAATTTCTCTTCGCACTTCTGATTGTCTGTCTAATTCGATGAGTGTACAAATTATGTATTCGAAATCCATTTTCGTATCTGACTTATATTTTAATTCCGTTATACTCACTAACGCGATCTAAGTCGATAATTATATACGACTAATAATAATAACAATCAGAATATATATATACATATTATCAATAACATACATACAATCTAACTAGAATCAGATCTTGAGCCACTAAATGAAAATACCGGATGAAATTCTAAAATATTCAATTTAAACCTTTAAAAAAAAATGTAGCCAATGATTATTCATATTCAAGAAGAAGACATATATAAAATGAAACAATGAACTAGTGATTAGTTACAATGGTAAAAAAAAAATAAAATGAAGAAACCTACATATATTGTATAAATGCATGATTTTATACTTGTAATATAATGTTTGGATATGAATAATATATGTTTCTTTTGTAGTGTGGAAGTAACAAAAAAGTACAGTAGTAAATAAATCAACAATGGTGTATATCATTATTAATGATATTCTAACTAGACATATCTCGAAATGATGATAAAAGATTGGGTAGAAATCCTTTTCGAGTAGATCCGCCCATGTCACAATATCGATTATTATTATTATTATTATTATTACTGTATGAATTAGGTGTTAATTCTGATGAATTCATATCTGTAATTAAAGATGTAAAGTAAGTTGTACGTGTTTCACTATTATTTTCAGAAGTATTATCCCAATCTGATAGAAACGATGAATAGACATCGTCAGAGATACTGAAAAGTAATCGTAGAACCTAAACACAATACATTTACATTTTTAAAAAAAAAAGAACAAAAAACAAAAGTATGTAAATAACAAGAATTATTTTCAATACTTTGAATAAACGTGAAGTTTTGGAAAAACAAATTAAATATAAATCACAATATACAGTAATATTGTAATAAACGAAGACTTGGTGAGAACACCAAGTCTTCGTATATTACTATCTATTATTATTGTTACTTGGTGAGGACAGCCCCCAAGTGCCATGGTACGGCCGAGAGTGGGGAGAGTCCACTCTGCCTCTCGAAATGCTCTCACATGGCCACGCGTATATAGCCTCTGCCAGGGAAGTCCTACTCATTGCTTTCTCGCAACACGGGTGTTACTTACGAAAATGAGAGGACGAAAAGCGAATGTCCGGCGCTTTAACCGGATCCCAAACCTCTGGTGCACATGGGCTCCAGTATCCTGAAGGAACAAATGGTGTATGAACCAATCGTTGGTCACCGGCTACCATGAGACTGCATCTCCTTACGATGCCACACTGCCTTGTGGATCAGACCTTCAGGTCGAAGGCTCGGGGTGTGGCCCCTAAGAAAACCACCTGCTTCGGTTTGGGCACCCGGTCAGCATCACAGCCTCCACACGTATCAAATGAGATTTGGGTGGCACATATGTGTTTTGTGCCTCCTTGTACCAATATCTATATGTTAAAATAAATAATAAATAAATGGTGAGGACAACCAATTAACTATTTAATACAAAATTACAGTGACTTAGTAAAATATGAAAATTATACATGAAATAAATCATTTGCATATCTTCCATCAATTATCCTTCACTTGCTCAATTATTCCTCTAAGTATGTTGTTATTTTTCATTCCTTCTCGATTTGCTTTATGTTCTCTTCAATTCAAGATTCTATCTACGATTACAGCTACATACTACTTATATCTGTCAGCATAAGTAGCATATAGCGGGATGCAATATTTGATTATGCTTTTTTAAAAAGCTGAACACTATTAAATTCAACTAAACTTGTTCTGGTCTATACGAATAGTATTTCTGTGATAACCGAAGATTGGATGACATGATATATTAGATACTAGTAACAAATTTTTGTAAAACAATATGAATATACCATCAAAATGTTGATCATTTGTTGGATTCTCTATAAATCGCAAGAATTACTATTAATGCTATAGTGAAGTTGGATTTCTTGAATTTATCAGGTTAATTAAATAATAAATTCACAATGAAAAATTATTACTCATTTGAACAATGTAACACTATGTATGGTTCTCATAACACACTTAAAGTGAGATGTTTAATCAATTCTTAGAAATGATTGAATAATACAAATTACTAGAAGAGGTTTTGTAATTTCAATAGTTGAATTCATGAGTCAATTGAAGCTAGACCATCGTAGAAATGCTGGAAGCATTGCACGGCCGTTTCGTTCTAGTATAGAGGTAGGTTGATTATGAACACAGTGATCTTGAGTGCTGTTAGAGGTATGAGGGCGGTTATCACTTCCCGGTTGCCCACACCGTGGGAGGGTTCTGCTCGAGGTACCTGAAAAGGAAATTGGATTAGAGGTGGTCATAGTGACCTGAGAGCGTGACCGCAGTGCCCTAAGGGACAGCTGTTTGAGGTCGGTCACACACGATCTTTTGATGAGTAGTTTTTGTGTTAGCTCCGTACTTGTTGAGACCTTACCGCCGGAGACGGATATCCGTGGGATAAGGCAAGGTGTGCATTTTTAGGGTCGACCTCTTCCAACCCCACCCCTCCTTTTGGGAAGGCAGCATCGCTGTTATGCTGGTTGTCTGAAGGAAACACCTTACTGCTGTCACACCTCTGTACAGTCAGCAGTACGACTTCGCCTTCGGACCTTGGATTTGTTGCTTTTAGTCTTACCGCTCTTCAATCAACCTGTCTGGCATGGTAGAACCTTGAGGAACAGTTGTTCCAGCCAGTATAGCTCAGTTGCTTCACCACGATAGGCAAGCCCGACCACTACGTCAAGACAGCAACAATGGTCGGGCGTTCTAGTACGGGACTCCTCAGCAGTGCGCATCCACGACCCCGCCCCTCGCAAGATCCGAACCCAGGACCTGTCAGTCAGGCGCGCGATCGCTTAACCATTAGACCGCTGAGCCGGCATCCAACGGTGTTAATGACTAACTTCAACCAATCC